CTGCCTCGCCCGGGAAGAGCGCAATGATGGTGCCAACTTGGGCCAGTGAAGCAACGTCCTCCACAACTAGACTGAAGAACAAAACAGCAACTTGTCTGTTCCCCTTCCCCCAATTCCCCACCGCTGTTCCCATCCCCCCAATTCTCCAATAAAAAAAATCTTTAAAAAAAAATGATTAAGAATAATTAGAGTATGAATCAAATTAAATTCAAAGAAATGTACAGAACATAGGCAAGGGAATGTTTGTTAGGAAAGTTGTTAGGGAAGAGTGTATTTCAGGGTAGAATTTTTAGCCAATTAACTGACATATACATATTTAGAAAGAATTCCTGCTCAGATTCATGGGAAATGTGGAACTCAAAGCCTTTCTCGATTTGTACCCAAATTGTTTCTTATGTACTAAAACAGTTTTTCCTAACTAAGTTAGAAGGGCCTTTAAGTTACTTATTTTATCTCATGTTTCTAGACTTTATCTGTGCCAGATAGTGTTAGTCATATAGAAGGTGATCAAGGTAGTTCTCTCTCTTTTCGTACGTATTTTCTCTTTTTTTATACATGCACGTATGACTTTTGTGGTAAAGAGATATAGGATTGGGTATCCAGAACTAGGAAAATTCTCCAAAAGTGCAAAGGGGATTCTGAACTTGAAAAGTGTTAACCTTTTTGCTTGGCTACCTGTTACACTGTGGCCTAGTATCATGCTAGATCTGTGGAGTAGAGGCTGAGCTAGTTTTTCAGAAACTATGGCAGTATAATTGTGGAAAAGGAAATTTCAGAAGGAATTGACAGCACATACTGGGAAGAACAGCCGAATGCGAGTGGATTCCTACACATATCGAGATGACCATACCTGTTTATTTTCAGTCTTGGGTTCAGTGAACAGCACAGCAAGTAGTGGGCTTTGTGTGTGGAGTGCTGTGCTGTGAGGTCACCATAATAGAATCAGGTAGAACAAGTGGTGAAGAACAGAACCGTGGAACTTTCTTCTGGTTCGTGCTGCTACTGCAGGTGGAGACCAGCCTAGAATAGGATATATTACATAGCAGAGACATATCAGGAGCAGATAGGTAAGGATTTGGAAAGATTTATCTGAGTCTCATGTCATTCCTGCAATGGGACTAAGTGCCACAGAGAATTGAGTTCTTTAATAAGCAGCTCAGATTTTTTTTCCCCCCCAGCTCCAAAAAGCCGACTTCAAAACCGCCTCCTCTTTCACTTGGCTCACAAGGTATGTATCCATATTCTCATTTCACACGTATTGTTTTTATCCTTCTTGTTTCCAACAATCATGAAAAATAACTATAAATTCTTGTTGTCCCTCTAGTGGACTGAAACACTTATCATTATGAAATGTCTCTATCTGTAAAAATTCTTTTTCACATATAGCCTGTGTTGTCATATTTGTAAAGCTACACCAGCTGTCTTTTGGTTACTGTTTGCCTATTATATCTCTTTATACCCTTTTACTTTCTACCTTTCAGTGTCCTTATGTTTTAAATGTCTCTCTTATAAACATAATATAAAAAAGATAAAGAGACGTAGGGAAAAAGGAAAGGGAGAAAATACAAAGAAATAGATAGAAAAGAAAAAGGTTAGAGGAACTATGGGGGGTCGAGTAATGAATATGAGCTGTGCCTGACAGGCGATTCATTGTCAAGGCCACGCCTCTGGAGGCTGTTTCCATTCTTTCTCTGAAGGAGAGACAAAGGGGAAGAAAACAAGAAACTGAAGGGAACCGGGAGAACCTAGACACAAAATGGCTAATGGAAGAGGAGTTAAAACCTCTGTAACATGGGTGTTGATTTCTCTGACTGTATTCTAATGTGAATCTTTACATGTATTTTTTTCTTTTGTGTGTGTGTGTGCTGTTAAATGTGTGTGTATAAATATAAATCTATAGTATACGTACATTGACTATATATTTCAAAAAGCCTTTTTTGACATCAAATGACCCTTGCAAAGCTACATGTTGATGAGTTAAGTGTAAATGAATCAGAAACATGTGGCTTGAATTCCCTTCAAAATACCCTAGGGCTTAAATTGAAGGGGAAAAGGTACTGGGAGGGAGAGGAAAATCACATTTTGGGTCTTGCTAAACCTAAATCACTTGAAAAATAGTTTAAGATGTTTGCTAAATCCAAAAAGCAGCTTTGCTCCCACCATACTGTGATGTCAAAGGTGCTCTTCACATGAGCTTACGCCTAATTTTAACTTCCTGCACATGTTGTAAAAACATCTTTGAGGACTCTCTTAAGCCACTGTTCAACGGAATGTGCCCATGGATTTTCCTTTCTCTCTATTTTAGTTTAATGATGAAAAGAAGTTGATGAACTTTCATCAGAATCTTCAGGATATCATAGAAGATCAACTCAGTTTGGCTTCCATCCACTATATGCGATCTCACTACCAAGAAGCTATTGATATTTATAGGCGAATACTGCTAGATGACAGGTCTGTGTCCTCTTATACCTACTCAAAATCTCATTGTGTTATTATAGTTTCTTCTGTAACTAGTTTGGCTGAAGACATAGTGTCCTTTAGATCTAGTATCACCATGTGTTCAACTCTGTTTAGCTAATAATCTGGTGAGAGTAGTAACTCCTTATCGTCTAGATCAAGGTGTTCCCACCTTTATGTCATTATGACCCTTCCAAGGAGCCTTTTTAGACTCTTTCTTTTTCCTAATTGCCCTCCCACGATATTTTAACACAACAGATGTACCGTATATCTGTTTATGTACTATATGTATATCTATGCTTTATATATAAAATGAGTGGTACCATTTCCCACCTCCTTACAAGAACAAATTTTTGCCCCTTTGGGGGTGATATTACCCCTATTGAAAATGCATGGTCCATGTATCAATTTCAGTGTTATAGTTACATCATGGGTAACTTGCTGACAAAATTAGAAACAAACAATTCTGAAAAATTAACATTCCAATTATCACTGACCACGTGGCCTTTCTCTCACATTCCAAAAATATCTCATCCACCTCCCTTCTCCCTTATTTTGCTTTACCTTCACAGTCTCCCACCCATTCCCATTTTCACTCATCAAGTCTACTTGACTTGTCTGTCCGTCCTCTCTATGGTGTGTGCTTATTTACATTTATGTTCAATTACAGCATATGTTTGTTTTTAAACATGAGCAGATAAGAGCTGAACTTTTTCCCTTTCTCCTCTAGTTGTCATCTTTACTTATATCAAAACACCCAAATATGACAATGCAAAAAGAAAATGATTTCACTGATTGTATCTTGCCTTCTTTCTTCAAAAGGCAAATTCATATCCTCCTTGCCTTGCTGTTTATTTGAGCCATAAAAAAGTCTTTGTGTTGGTTAAGAGCTCGCTCAAGAGTGCGAGCTCTGAGCAACAGGGTTGCTGGTTCGATTCCCGGCCCAAGCTGAGCTGCCGCTGAGCTGCCAACAGGTGGCAGGATGGCTCAGCTAAAAAAAAAAAAGTCTCTGTGGTTTGACAATGTTTCTGTGAAGTAGACTTAAACTGTTAACCTTTAATTCTTCCATCTACTAGGGGGTACCTTGCCCTCAATGTTTATGTGGCCCTATGTTACTACAAGTTGGATTACTATGATGTGTCTCAAGAAGTTCTGGCCATTTACCTCCAGCAAATTCCTGACAGTACCATCGCACTCAATCTCAAGGCCTGCAATCATTTTCGCCTTTACAACGGCAAAGCAGCTGAGGTAGTGATGGAAATTTGTTTTTAACTTGCTTTATTCCAGTTTGGATTACTCTCTACTTCCTGGATTTTTCACGAAACTATTACCTATAACTCCTGGTTAATAACACCCCTTTGTCATTGCCAGTGTAATTCTGTAAGAACCGAAGGATATCAATATTTACACTTATCAGATGGCCTAAAAAGAATGTCGACTTCTGAGTTCTCTGTGTGTGCCTAATATAGCGTAGATGATCTTTACCTAGATGCCTTATCTTAACTCAAATACGTTAAAACCAAACATTTCCACTTCTTCCTCTAAAGTATGTGGGCGGCTTTGTGATTCGATGTCAACAGTGTGTAGATCACCTCGGAACCCAGGATATCCTTCACTCTCTTCTCCTCCATGCCCATCTAATCATTCACCAGTTCCCAGCAGTTCTGTGTCCTAGATATCTTACCTACCCCTTTCTCCTTTGCACTCCTCTGTCCTCATCTCTTATTTCCATTCTTTCCCTGCCTCTGGTCTTGTCCTCTCTAGTCCGGCTGCTGAGTTGGTTCCATACACCATATTCGTATCACGATAGCTTTGCAGACACCATTCTCAGTCCCTGGAGTGTCTTTCTCTGCTTCGTACACGTCAGTGTCTCCTCTAAGGGTACCCCCAAGAAGCAATAGTGGTAGATATTTTATAAATACATAGAAATTAGCTAATTAGAGGCACTGTGCAGAATACTTTATATTCACTATTTAGTTTCCTGATAACCTGTGGATAAATTCTATTATTGCTCTCTGAGAGCATACAGGAGGCCATACAATATGACTCTCTTTTATTTAACATTATATATGTTATTTAGCATTATATATATATATATATATATATATACATGCATATACACATATACACACATAATACATTTAGATAGAGATATAAATAGATACATAGCATATTCTATACTATATCTACAAATTCAGATACATGTGTGTGTGTGTGTGTGTGTGTGTGTGTGTGTATATATATATATATATATATATATATATATATACAGTATATATAGATGTATATACTTTATATGTAGATGGTTTTTAGGTTAACCCTGTGAGGGCGCCATATTTGGAAATTAGTTCCTTGGCCATTACTTTAGTTGAAGCCACCAAAATTTAAATGTAAAATTTCTGCATGTGTCAAAATTTTAAAATCATACCCCTGCCCAAAAAGCAGTTCCAAATGGCATCATGCCACCCTAGAGGAGGAGGAGGAAAGAAACTGAAACTAGCAAATGAACTGTATCACAGCAAAATCTATTGTGAAAACAAAATAGCAAGGAGCAGTATTAACATGCTTCATGCTGGCAGGAGATTCGACTCCTGAGGGACACAGGGTTTAGTCATTAGCGGGGGAGGGAGGGGTGGAGAGCATGTGCCCTTAGCAGAAGCCCAGGTTCACGTTTCGTGGCTTATGTTGAGAAAGGTGGTCAGTTGTGGCAAAAGAAAGCCCATCAATTAAATTGCTCAGGATACAATCGAACAGCCAATTTACATATTATATAAAATACGTTGTTGGGTATACTCATTTCAACTAAAGAGTCCCTTGAGTCTGCCTAATTGGCTAGTTTCCCACATCAGAAGGTTTAATAGTAAACTGGATTTGCAATTTGATCTCTTTGAAGTTTTCATCCTTGGTAAGAATAAATTAAAAATGTATATATTCTTGCCTTTCTACCTTGAGTTAATTTGGGGAGCTTTGCCAATTTTGGTGTAAACTCCAGTCTATGAAATGTTTACATTTTATCTGCATGTGTTCTTTCCATAGTCTGGGATGAGCTGCATGGTTAACCAATATTCTGTAGGTCTAGTGCCATCCAAGTCAGGTCCCCAAACTGCCCTGCCCCTCCTCCTCAAAAGGCACGCTTTCTCATTTGAAATCGTGTCAGTGAATTTCCATATTGATTTTATGATGTACTCCAGCAGTAGGTGACTATGTCAAATGTATCCTAAGAAACTTTTTTGTTTGGTAGGAATAGGCTATAGTTTATGTTTACTTATGATAATTTTATTAAAACATTTACGATCAGGAATTCTTTTAGTAACTCATACAATGGGTTCTGTATTATATGGTTCATTCTCTCCACAAACACCAATAGCATTCCGCTCTTTTATAGTAAGTATGTAACGATTGACTTAATTCTTAATATGCTTTGAATAACTTGCCCAACAATTGGCAAATTCAGATCTCAAACCCTGGTCTGTCTGATTCCAAAGCCCTCTATTCTATTCTGTTGATTCATTTGTTTTCCTGCTCTCAATATCATACTGCCTTAATTGCTGCAGCTTTATAATAAATTTTCACAGGATTCAGCTAGCTAATATACCATTTAAGATTTTTGCATCAATACTTATCAATTTGATTAGTCTATAATTTCATTTTTTTGTTGGTATAGGTCTTGTCAGGTCTTGGTACAAAAGGTTATACTAGCCTTATTAAGTGAATGGAGAGGGTACCATATTTTACTATTTTCTGGAAAAGTTTATACAGGCATACCTTAGAGATATTGTGGGTTCAGTTCCAGATCAGTTTATACTGCAATACAGCATACACCACAATAAAGCTTATATCACAATAAAGCAAGTCACATGAATTTTTTGGTTTCTCCAATGCATACAAAAGTTATGTTTATGCTACACTGTAGTCTTTTCATTATGTAGTAACATCATCTGAACCTTCAGCAAGTCATTCTTTTTACTGGTGGAGGGTCTTGCCTTGAAGTTAATGGCTGCTGACTGTTCAGGGTGGTGTTGCTGAAGGTTGGGGTGGCTGTGGCAATTTCTTGGCTGACTGGAGACATAGCTTTTGGCCTATCTTGACTTTCAACACACCTTCCCCACTAAGCTTGATCATTTCTAGCTTTTGATTTAAAGAGAGAGACATACAATTCTTCCTTTCACTTGAACACTTAGAGGCCATCGTAGGGTTGTTAGTTGGTTTAACTTCAGTATTGTGTCTCAGGGAATAGGGAGGCCTGAGGAGAGGGAGAGAGGGCTATGGCTAGTCAATCAGAACACACACAACATTTACCAATTAAGTTCACCATCTTATATGGGCATGGCTTGTGGTGTCCCCAAAACAATTAAAATAGTAACATCAAAGATCACTGGTCACAGATCACCATAACAAATATAGTAATGAAAAAGTGTGAAATATTGCAAGAATTACCAAAATGTGACAGAGAGACACGAACTGAGCAAATGATTTTGGAAAATGATGCTGGTAGATTTGCTCCACACAGGGTTGCACAAACCTTTAATTTGTGTGTTAAAAAAAAAATTTATCTGCAAAGCATAATAAAACAAAGTATAGTAAAATGAACTATACCTGCATAAGACTGTCAAGATCTCTCCCTTAAATATTTGCTAGAACTGTAGTAGTGGATGAAGTCACCTAGGCTTGGGAGGTTTTAAAGTACTAATTTAATTTTTTTAATAATGATAGGACTACTCATGTTTTCTATTTCTTCTTGTATTATTTTTGGTAAGTTGTATTTTTCTAGAAGTTGGAGCATTTTATCTACATTTTTAATTTTTTTAGTCTAAAAAAACTTTTGGTTTTATTAATCTTCTCTATTGTTTGATTGTTTTCTACTTTATTAATTTCTGTACTTTTGTCATTTCCTTCCTACTGTTTTCTTTCAGTGGGCTTGCTGTACTTTAAAACATTGTTGAAATGGATGTTTAGCTTGTTAATTTTAAGCCTTTTTCTTTTCTAAAATATCCATTGAAAAATTATAAGCTTCTAAGTATTGCTTTAGCTGCATTCTAGGTTTGAGTATTCAATATGACTTCTGATTTCCAGTATGAATTATTTTGGATTAATTAGAAAAATTCTTGATTTCCCAATACATGGCAAATTTTCTGGTTATCTTTTTGTTACAATTACTAGCATAATTACATAGTGGTCTGAGAACATATTCTGTATGATTTGATTCCTTTGGTATTTCTTTCTTTTTTTTTTTTTTTAAGATTTTATTGGGGAGTTGGGGGAGGGGACCAGCCAAGTTGTTGTTCTTCAGTCTTCGTTGTGGAGGGCGCCAGTTGCCATCTGGCTTCCCATCTGCAGCTCGTGGCCTCTAAGCTCAAGGTGCTGTGTTCAATCTTTGTTGCGGGTGGGCATAGCCACCATCCCATGCAGGAGTTGAACCAGCAGCCTTGTTGTTAAGAGCGCATGCTCTATCCACTGAGCCATCCAGGCGGCAGCTCAGCTCAAGGTGCCAAGTTCAGTTTTAGTTGCAGGTGGGCATAGCCCACCATCGAACAGGCAATCTTGTTGTTACACCAGCTGAGCCATCCTGGCACTTGTTGGCAGCTCAGTGACAGCTCAGCTTGGGTGCAGCTCACTGGTCCATGTGGGAATTGAAGCAGCGGCCCTGTTGCTCATTAAGTCATGTCTATTAAGTCAAGTTAGTTTTTTATGATATATCAAAGCTTCTGTTATTTTACTAATTTTGTTATGTCTGCTTACTGTTAATTCCAGAGAGGGGTGTGTTAAAATCTCTCACTATTATTGTGAATTTGTCTCTTCTGATTCTTTTCATTTTCACTTTGTATATTTTGAGATCATTTTTTTAGGAATGTACACATTTTTAATGGTTATATCTTTCTGGTGAATTGAACCTTGTATCAGTATAAAGTGACTCCCTTTCTTATAATAATGCTTTTTGCCTTAAAGATCATTTTGTGTGCTATTAATGTAGTTTTTCTTTTGGTTTGTATTTTTAGGATATATTTTTTACCATCCTTTTCCTGTCAACTTCTTTATAACTTCATATTTTAAGTGTGTCTCTTATAAACATATAGTTGGATTTTATTTTTGTATCTTGTCTGAAATTTTGTCTTTTTCTAGTATTTAATCCAATTAGGTTTAATTACTGGTTATATTGTAATAGTGGTTACTTAGGTGTAAATCTAATCTACCATCTTATTTTGTGTTTTTATTTGTCTCCCTCTTCTGTTTCTTTTTCTCTCCTATTTTTCAATTTTTGGATTGGTTTTGATTGACTATTTTTTATATTTATTTATTTTTCTGTGCTAGTTTCAGAAGTTATATACTCTGTTTTCATACTTGTAGTGGTCACCATAAAAATTACCTCAGACATCTTTCATTTAACCAAGTTTAATGTTAATTTTTACTTTCCTCCTAAGCAATACAAAGATTTTACAATATTTTAACTTCATTTACTACCTTCCTAATTTATATGCTATTGTTGTCATGTACTTTAGTATTATATTTTTAGAAAATTATTGCTGCTAAATATAGTCAGTATTTATTTAGTGTTACCAACATTTTTAAATATTGTATTCATCCCTCTTTATTCTCATCTGGAATTCAAACCTTCCGTCTTGGATCCTTTGCCTATTGATGGAAGTAAAGTTTATCCTTCAGAATCCTTTTAGTGAGAGTCTGGTGGCAAACTGTTTTCTTTTGCCTGAAAATGTTTTTATTTTGCCTTTTATATGTTATAAGATATTTTCGCTAGGTATAGGATACCTTGTCGGCACACTGAAATCACTCTTTGCAGTTTCCATTTCTGCTTTCATGCTTATCTTTTATTTTCTTTCTTTTTTTTTTTTTAAAGATTTTTATTGGGGAATCGGGGGGATGGGAACAGTGCTGGGGAACATACAAGTTGCTGTCAGTTTTGTTCTTCAATCTAGTTGTGGAGGATGTTGCTTCACTGGCCCAAGTTGGCACCGTCATTGCGCTCTTCCCGGGCGAGGCAGATCAGTCGCCGGC